GAAAAATCTTTTGGGTTAGATAAATGTAGTAATGAATACAAGTATAGATTGGCAAATAGCAAATCTGTAATAAGTGCTGTCCAACTGACTAATGGCTGATAATCATTCTGAGCCTTGTCAGTACTCTGTTACTTTGACTCTGTGGTTTTGGTCTAGTTGTTATTCGTAGTCAGCTTTTTAGAGAGCGTGGCATTTGGTGAGAAACCCTCATGTTTCATGTTCAAATAAGAGGAAAATGTCTGGAATGTTGGATTGAAGTTGATACATTCTTCCAGAAGTAGAGAGAGAACATAACAGTATAATCTATAGGATACAACTCATTGTCATGATACAGCCAAGGGAAACAAGATTCATCCTTGGAGGTATTTCCTTGGTACTACTCTTTTGAAGGACAATGCAGTACTGGAATAAAAGCTTCAGGCAGAGGGTTGGCAACAGGAATAGGCCAGTCCTCAGGCATCAGACATATAAAGTTCAGAAAAGCTCATCACCAGGCAATGGAATGATGAGCAGCTACTCACTAAACTGTTCAATAAGGTAAGAGAAAGACTATGGTCAGTGTCAGTGGAAGGAGCACCTATACAGATGAATCATGAGTTAGGTGATTATAAATATGTATATATATATATATATATATATATATATATATATATATATAGAGAGAGAGAGAGAGAGAGAGAGAGAGAGAGAGAGAGAGAGAGAGAGAGAGAGAGAGAGAGAGATAAATACACACACTTAAGTGGTTTTACTTTTTTCTGTAAATATGTCAATACTTCAGGAATGAGTGATTTCATTGGCATGCAAACTCCCTCCATGAACACAGATTGCAGTGCTTTTATGTCTTAGTGGATGGTCTTCCAGAGTTGTTTTGACAGAAAAAAAATCAATCTAATCAATAAGCCTTTATTAAGTGCTTACTGAAAATTCTTCATCCCTTTGCCAGCCATATGATGTTTCTCAGAACCTAGTGAGGTTGATTCTTAGGCAGCAGATATACAGAATTCATCACTAGTCCTCACTCTGCCATTAGGTAACTTTGTAATCTTAGTTAAGTTTCTTAACCTTTTCTGCCAAAGTCTCTTGGTTAGACGTCTGTTCTGTGTTTTATGAAATTATAACTAAAATAATGGCTACTATGAGAGCCAATGTGATACCCTGTGAAAAGAGCACTTGATTTGGAGTCAGAAAACCAGGATTCAGATGGTGATTCTTGTTTATTTTCTCTGTGACTTTGAAGTGAAAATCACTTGATCTCTCTGAGGCTCAGTCTCATCATCTACAAAATGAAAGGGTTGACAAAAAGATTTTTGAGATCTCTTTTAGCTCTAAATCTATGATTCTACAATCCTAGTGTGATTGACCATATTCTAGTCCTAGTATGTCATTATTATATCACCACTCATATCTTTGCCTTATTTCTCATATATACCCTTACTTATATTTGTATACTTTACATGGGTAATTTCTCCTTTTCATGTAAAGTTTAATGCAGTAATTTTCAGGGCTTGTGGGGGTGAAATTCACTTATTTATTATTTCAGTTTGATGTCTAGTTGGCAACCAAGGCATCTGGTCAACCTAAACTTTTCCAGTATTTTTATTCTTTCTTTCTCCCCATGCAGCATCCATCACTTTATCACACAGCATGCCTTATGGTGTTAAAAACATATTGCTTCTTATCACTGGATCTGTATTGTTGCTTCTAAATCCCCTCCATATTGATCCTGAAGCCCAGTCTTCTCTAGTCTTCTGCTATTATGCAAAACCTCCCAATATTATGCATTGCCTCAAATGACAAGTGTTCATCTCAAGGATAAACTCAATTTTTGTGTTTATCCTACTTATTGTGGGGAAGTGCCCTAGAACCAACCCTCTAACACTGACCTAGAGCTGGTGATTATCTTTTGCACTTTCCTGAAAATCTGAAATTGATTTAGAACAAATAAAAATTAAATTGCTATGCTCTAGACTACAGAAATGCCTCCAAGTATGTTTGCCTAAGTATACCATAATAGAAGGAATAGGTTTTAGATTCATGACATAACTTATATATTTGTTGATTTAAGATATGAATGATTTTACAAGGTTTTTATCATTTCTAAAAAGTTGAAAACCACTGTCTATGCAAAAAAATAATAATAAATTTGATGTGGCAATGATAGCTTTCAAAGGAAAGCTATTCAGTTACTTGAATTTTTTTTTAAAGTGAACAGAACAGCCCATTATTTTCTTTTGTAGTCCCTGACTGTGTGGCCTGAGGCTAGATATGAACTCAGGTCTTTTCTGACTCCAGGCCCACTACACCATCTAACTTCTTTGATGGGGCAAATAGTACTTGAACTGCTTACTCATACACATAATGAAAATAGAAGCATGCCTTGCTTTGAGAATGTCTGTTCAACAAAAGGTTGGTTGAACTTAGTTGCTTTAAATATAGTGATTCAGTTTATAAAAATAGGGATGACACATGGCTGTAGAAAGGTATCTGTAACATAGATGCACTTCTATGATGAATTATTATCATTTTTTAAAAAATAGAGTGAAAGCTTCCTATGTCATTTCACAGGTCAGGAAGGAAATTTACAGGATATTCACTTGAAGAAATTCATATTTAAGTCTTTTTCAATTTTGGGTCTTTATTTCACTATCAACCAAAATAGTTAATGAAAGTGTAAAAAATACATAGTTTGTGTCCTCAAACTTACTATAATAGACTGAAGATCAGTATCTAGACATTGTCTTGTGGGAATATGTATTAAATATGTCATTTGAATACAAGTCACAAGTTAAGGTTAAAAAAGAGAGTTGGTAACCTGACTTCTTCAATATTTAACTATAGGTGTTTGAAGAGCAAATGATATCTATTCTGTTCTGTAGAAATTAGCTGTTTGAAGTCTGTTTTGATCCCCCAGTGTGTACTAGAATTATGTTGTTCCAGTGCATTATAGCTGAGGGTATAATAAATCCTTGATGTGAATTTCATGCTTAAAAACACTGGGAATCATTTTTTATAGCCCAGTTAGATTCTTTCCCCTTTACTTTTGGCCTTTGGGAGCAGACATCTGTTGCCTCCTCCTATAGCTTGGGCCAACAGATGGACCTTTCCAGAGTAACTCACTTCTCAGATAGATATGGTGAGAGAATCAAACACTAGAAATTAGGCAATTTTCTTAACTTATTGCTTTAACTTGGTGCCCAAGCTTGGAACAGTCCTAATAGAACCCTCTCATCTGGGGATCTGAGCTTGCTTCTGTTGATACAGGTCTTTGAATTGCTTCAAGTTATAGTCAGTGACAGAATAGGGCTAGGACTGCCTGGGCTCGTCTTTAGGTTCCTAGGTTCTGTCATTTTGCTGTGGATCCAAAGATTCCCAGTTTGGTGTAGATTCCAGTGAGCTATTCCAGTCCTGCTAAATAGCTACTCATCTCCTGGAAAGCCCCCTTATCCACTCCACTCTTTCTGAGTTTGGCAAAAAGATTGTTTCCATACCACATTATCTTTCCTCTGTCTTGCTGTCCCCAAGAACTCATTTCTAACAAGAGTGGACCCTTAGACCTCTCCAGTTGTCACATAGACTTCCTTGCTTATTAACTCCTAGCTACTGAGAGGTAGAAAGTGAAGCAGTTGTTCACTTCATTAAGTTCTAATTTGTTTAAAAGCAGTTTTCAACCGGTCTTTGAAATTCAAAATTTGTTAACTATTAGTTATCACAGTTGGTAATGAAGAGATTGGAACAGATCAACATCTCAGGTCCCTTTCACTTCTCAAGTCCTAGGATTCCATACCTTTAATATTGTTAGATATTTGAAAAAGATTACATTTAAGTTAATTTGCTGGGAGTAGTGCTCTTGGGGGTGGAGAATGGTGCCTGATAATAGTCATGGGAGGGTGTTATGTAACTTCTCTAAAAATTCATTAGAGATTTTTGTAAAGGTTAATTGTTTTTTTGCTTGTGTTTTTGCTGGGTTTGGTGGAGGAGTAAAAAAAATCTGCCTGATTTTTTTTTTAACAAGACTCCAACCTGTTTATGGAACTCACAGGGCAATAAAATGCCAAGACTGTTTACTTGCCAGTGCTGCCAGGATACCCTTGGAGTAATTCAGAAAGGCCACCCACATAGGTTTCCTTCTTTTAAAGAGTGATTCAGGTGCTTGATTTACCAGTTTCCACCCCCCACATCTAAGTACAGACACACACGTACAGTTGAAATCTAGTTGGAGCCAAGGATGCCAGTAACTTGACCAAAATGTGGTGTCAGCTTCCTGGGTTATGTGGAAATGTTTTGTACTTCAGTAAACCAAGTAGTAAACTTGGATGTACGAAGGCTGTTACAATATTCTCCCACCCATCCTTTAAGCTGCGTTACTGCAGAAGTAGATCTTGTGCTCCCTCATCTGCCTCCTTAAATCTATCCTGGCTCCTTTAAAACCCAATCTCCTTTTAAAAACAAGGTGAAGAGGCTTCCACTTTTCCTTTTCCCCTTTCCCTTTTCTCTGGGCCTCTCCCACTTCCCCTTGCACTGCCAGCTCTGTCTTCCTTCTGTAATGGGGAGCAGATTGCTACGTATACTTCTCTCCCCTTCATAAGGAATGTGTTCATGACCCACAACTTTCAAAAGTGCTGTCAGTGCTGGTCTTCTGATTATTGGAAAGGCATTCCCCTAACACCTTTGCAACTGGCTGTATTCTAACTACCTTCATAATCTAGGTGTTCACCCAGGCACCTGGGAAGTGTGATTACAAATCAGCCTCTGTTGACTCAGTCTGGTGTTGTGTGCTTCCTCTGTGAAGTTAGAGAACACTTGAAAGCCACAAGCTACTGGTGTTTTTTTTAAAGCCTCTTTTGGCATAGGCACTAAAGCTTAAGTATCGAATTAGGAAGCTTTCCAATAACCGCCCTCTTCATGCAGCTAAATGTAGATTACAGCTGTCCCTTTTGGAAACATGCATGCAGTAGTATGCTGAGGGCTGACTGGAATTTTCTTTCTATTTTCCTTTCCAGAGTATCTCCCTTGCAGAAGTCTGAAGTTGTTGACATGGTTAAGAAGCATGTGAAAGCCATCACCCTCGCCATCGGGGACGGTGCCAATGATGTGGGGATGATCCAGACTGCTCATGTTGGCGTAGGGATCAGTGGGAACGAGGGCATGCAGGCAACAAACTCCTCCGATTACGCCATTGCACAGGTCAGAAGCGTGACGGAACAGCTGCTGTGGCCTGCTGACAGAGGTGTCAGCTGTGCAGATGCCCTTGGTTGCATCTTATAGAATTTCTACTGCTTCTTTTGAGGCTTGCCATCTAAAAACAATACCACCGGGGTATCTGGGTTTCTCTTTGGTCTTGATCTTCACATAGTTGGAAGCGCCCTTTCCTACAGCTTAAGTTTCTCTCGGCCAGCTGTGGGTCTTGCCCACGTTGTTCTGTCATCAGGGAAAGGCGCCATTCATGACAGCTAAGTCTACAGCCCTGCTAATAATAATCCTTCTCCCACCCACGTTGGCAGTTTAGCTTAGCTAGCATCTCTTGGTAAAGAGCTTTTGTATCTGTAATAGCCATACTCTCCTAGTTAACGGTGTAGTACACCTTGGTTGGTTTGTTCCACACCCCCACGCCACCGCCCAGTTACCTGTTGTAACTGTTTCTTCTCAGTCACTGAAGGGTAGTTTAATGTGGTGGTTTCATTGTTTTCAGTACAAGTAACCAGGGACAACTTTTAGTTTAGCCGCTGCCTTCATGAGTTATTTTCCCTGGGATCATCTATTTCATTTGGATTTTAATGACTCCATGTTCAGCAGCAACATTTATAACCACACACACAAGCCAAGACCATCCTGTGTATTCCTCTCTAAACCAAAAGCTCCATGCGAAAACATCCGACAAGTTTAATGCAGTCAGTACCAACTCATACTAGAAAGAAATGCTTTGATCTGTTACTTGGTGGTATCCAAGAGACAAAAAGAATCAACCATTGCTCCTCATAGTTTAGACCATATTTTAAATCATCCATCATCAACAAGCATTTCATTAAGTACCTCTTATGTGCTAGGCACTGGAATATAAAGACAGCATCCTTGCCTTCAAGGCACTTACAGAGAGATGGACAAAATGTTTATATACAGATCTTTCCATAACATATCCCCAAAGTAACTAGGGGAGGAAAGGCCCTAGCACCTGGGGGGAATCAGGAAAGGCCTCAAGCAGAAGAAGGTTGTGCTAGAGAAGAGTCCCAAAGAAACCTAAAGATTTTAAGGGGCAGAAATATATATGCACCTCAGACATGGGGAATATACCAGCATAAAGCGACAAAGGTAGAAAATATGGGGTCATGCAGAAAGAACATTAAGGAGACCACGTTGGCCCAACCAAGAAATGAGTGAAGATAAGTAATGTAATATGTAATGAAGTTGGAACAGTAGGTTGGAGCTTCTATTTTATCCTAGAGGTATTACAGTGTAATACATTGCTATAAAGAAATATTTTTTTCTTCTCTTGTTAGTTGATTAGGCAGCTAGGTTGCACCACAGTTCACAAAGTACCAGGCCTGGCATCAGGAAGCCCTGAGTTCAAATCCAACCTCACATACTTGCTGGCTATGGACCCTGTTCAAGTCCCTTAGCCTTTGCCTCAGTTTCCCCAATGTAAAACAGGGATAATAATAGTGCTTATTATAGTTGTTATGAATATCAAATAAGACAGTAATTGTAAAGAGCTTAGTATAGTGCCTGGCATATAATAAGCTCTATGTAAATGTTAGATAGTACCTTCATTTTATAGTGATGAAAATCTTTCAAAAGACATAATACTTTTAATCAGCATCAATATCTTTAATAAAGTCAGTCTTACCCACTGCTTTTCATTCTTAAAGGGGCATACATGATGCAGTGAAGAGTCAGAAGCAGTCCTATGCACCCCTAGTTTAGATACTCATCTACCCTGAGATTAGGTGATATCTTGAGGTTTCACATGGTTTTGTGTTTCTTTAGCTACACCTAAGGAAATCCTTACGGTCTTGAACAACATAGGAAAAGTCTTCCTCTTTAAGGAAGATAAAATCCTCAAGTCCCTCTCTGAATTAATGCTGTGATTGTGCAGACCTGAAACCTGGGCCCAGAAGCATTAGGTGGTCTGCCTGAGGGCAGAGTACAGGAACCATCCTAGAGAATAACAGTTATGTGCATGGACAGGGTGACAGCCATGTTATATATACCCTATGACATGCAACCTTCCCTAGGTTAGCAAAAAAAAAACTGTTTGGAAGTCTTGCTTTCCTAGAATATATCAGAGACCAAATGTTATGGACCATGAAGTTATTAAATATTTGAGTTACAGACTTGTAGGGCTGAAAGGGAATCTCATGAGATTCCTGGGCATTCTAGGCAATTATCTACCCATTGCTTAAGAATGTCTAGGAAAGTAGATTCAGTAACCTTCTTTTAGGAAATGGAATCCTAATGAGAAGAGGACTGGACTTTTGAGCAGTTCTTACTTCAGACTAAAATACTGAGTGGAAGGTAGAGGGGTGTAGTGAGCAGTGTTCTGAAACAGAGCCTTTTGATTTTCTTGCTCTAGTTGCAGCCAACTGTTTTCTAATTGAAAAGCTAGTGGCCTCCTCTGCAGACTCTCCCTTTCTCCATCTCAGCCTAATATCAGCATTAGCCTTATAAGTAGGCATGTTCATTCTGTCCTTAAGGCTCAGGTCTCCTCCTACTCTTCCACCTTGCTTGATAGAGTAGAAAAAGCCCTGAACCAGGAGTTATAGGACCTTATTTCAAATTGTGGCTCTATTACATCTGTGTCCTTGGCCGAATCATCTAGCATCTTTGGGCCTCAGTTCCCTCATTAGTACAATGAGGGGGTTGGACTAGATGACTTCTAAGGTTCCTTTCAGTTCTAAATTTATGATCCTATGAAATTCTACTGTCTTCTATTGTAGATTAACTCCTTTGATCCACTTTTAAAATATAAAAGATCCCTACAAAAGGTAATACTTTTAGCCTTATTGGTCATTAATAGCTTGATGTGAATGAGTTTTAAACATCTTTCCTAAGAGCAACTATAAGCAATGGGAATTTAAAGAGTACATACACTGCTTCCATACAGGAAAGGAAGGGATGGAAAGACCTGACGACAACCTTTGTCAACTTTACAGTTTTGCCAAGGGCTGACTTTGTCTTTATCCCTCAGCATATCTGTGTTGTTCTATAGGTTCTATACTACCTTTTCTAACCTTTCTGAATCTACACTTTGACCACTGCTACCACCACTGGAGTGATAGCTTCTCTTTCCTTTCCAGCTTCCATTCAAGTGGCACACAACTTTGCTTGTTCTCCTTGTTACTAAATAAATGAGGATAGTATTATACACCTAGCCTATGCCTTCATGTTTCTTTCTAGAGAGGACATCCCTATCTAGAGAGACTCATCCCTCTACCTTTTTTTTTAAGTTATGCAAAACATTTTCGTATTAGCCATATTGCAAAAGAAAAAAGCAAACAAAAATAGTTGGTTTTTTTTTAAAAAAAGTATGCTTCAGTCTGCATTCAGAGTTCTTCAGTTCTTTCTTTGGAGGTGCATAGCATTTTTCATCATGGGTCCTTTGGAATTGTCTTGAGTAATTGTCTTGATCAGAGTAGCTAAGTCTTTCACAGCTGGTCAGCATTACAATGTTGCTGTTACTGTGTAAAATGTTCTCTTCATTCTGATGCTTCCCTTCTCATGAGTTCAAATGAGTCTTCCCAGGTTTTACTGAAAGCATCCTGCTCATCATTTCTTATAGCACAAGAGTTTTCCATCACAATCGTATACCATAACTTGTTCAGCCAAATAATGGGCATCTTCTCAATTTCCAGTTCTTTGCCACCACAAAAAGAGCTGCTATAAGTATTTTTATACAAATAGGTCCTTTCCCCTTTACTTTGATCTCATTGACTCCCTACTTTCTTAATTTTTTCAAAGCACCTCAAGAAAAGTAGAATTTTGATTTTGGTGTTTTTCCCTGAAGATAAATCATTGCAAAGCTAAAAATTGTGACATTAGAGATGACTCAAGCAGATGTTCTCTGTGCTCATTGATGTTTAATGTCAGGGGTCTGGGTCAAATGCAAACTTCCTTTATATTTGTTTTAGTTAGTTATTTTATGATTCCCTATTCTCCTCTGGAATACTTAATGAGCCTTTATGGAGAGTTTTATTTTTCCATATGTGCCTATTCAAGGCATTTCTGCATCAAAACTTTCAGTTTTCGAATAAGATGCTAAGGTACTGTGCATTACACAGATATCTGGCAATAGCATATGAGAATATGGTCTCACACTAGACAGAAGCACCTCTCTCTGCATGTTATCCTTGGGGAACACATTGTAGACTACATACTTCCTCCTCTTACTTGTATTATTTTGAGTACAGAACTTCTTTTTAAAGAAAAATCAGTTGCATTTTAGCAGTAAGCCCAAACTAATAAAAGGTTCACAATATCCAATGAATTTTTTAATATTCATAGACTGTCAAACATAGCCTGATTGCCACTTCTGGGTACACAATGGGGATTTGAACTGTACTGTGCTCCTGTACTGCCTGCAGCAATTGGTTAGGACAGAGTCCTCTTGACCTTCAGCCCAGAAATAGGGAGATTAAGATTTTATTTCAAGGAAACTGAAAGGAGAATTGGAGGACCCTGTGTAAAATATATTTAATATTCCAAAACTGTGATAGGAAGAATGAGGTTAGTTAGCCTTAATGTATTCATGCTAGAACACTCTAAGAGCTTAAGAATCTCAAAGTGATACTTTTGCCTCACACCAATGCTCACCTTTAAGGTTTTTCTATGCAATAGAAAGGAAGGGAGCAAGCCTGATGGTCAGGAATAGGTAATTTGTCTATGTGGGAGCAGTCAAGGTATGCCAAGAAAGGCCCCTGTGCCAAAGTGAGATTTTATTCTTTTGTGTTAAACGTTACCGTTTCCCTACAGGCCTCTTTCCAAGTGCTAGTGCCCCTGACAAAAATAACTGGATTGTCACTGTCACCCTGTCACCTTATTGTAAATTACTTAATCCACATCACTTCCTTAATTGGCTAGACTTCTGCCTTCATGTTAAAGTGCAGAAAGTGGATGTTGGGGATAATCATTTATTTATTTTTAATTTATTCATTCATTCATTTGTTTATTTATTTATTGGAATTTGGCCTTGTTGGTTTGTTTTTCCTGAAGGCTTAGTTCTAGGAGATGGAAGAATCTCTGTTTCTCTGGGTAGGAAAACTAAGGCAGAATTGTTTTCATTTGTCCCCAGTTGTACAGAAAGTTAGTGGTTCAACTGGAACTTTCCATTCCCTCTAAAATGCCCTTTTCATTAAAAGCTAAGGACTTAATCCCTCTTCCAATGATGAAAGTTCCCAAACCCTGGGATTTAAACTATGCAAATGATAGCTGGGCAAAGACATTAAATGTTTAAGTGCTCTCATAAAATGGAGATTAAGTAGTAATTTTAGTTTAACAGGTCAAGTTATTGTCCCCTGGGTTGGACACTGCACCCCCTCCCCCATCCCAAAGTGAATTGCAATTTGCTAATCTTGTAGTTTCAGAGCCTTCTACACAAAAGGAAAACCTCAGACCTAGCAGTGAGAGGCCTGAGATTTTTCAAACTGCCACTAAATGATTTATGTTATGAAATGGTGAGCTCTTAGCTTCTTGAATTGACTGTTACTTCTCTCTTTCTCTCAGTTTGCCTACTTGGAGAAGCTTCTACTGGTGCACGGAGCCTGGAGTTACAATCGAGTGACCAAATGCATCTTATATTGCTTCTACAAGAATGTGGTGCTTTATATTATTGAGGTAAGGTTGGAGACATGATCTTCTGTGAAGAGATGAGCCTTTGGCAGAGGGGTTAATAGCTGGAGAGTGATTTAAATCATGGAGAAAGGGAGATATTTGTAGATTTAAATTAATCTCAGTGAAATAACTTGTTGATATGCAAATATTTGTGGAAAAGATGTCATTCTAATGTGTTGAGATAATGTGGGGCATAAGTAACTTGTTTTGGAGTCATAATGTGCCCCTGTGCTAAAATATGGATGCCTATAGGAATCAGCAATCTATGCATCACCATCATTTTTAGAGAAGAGTTCTTACCCCAAACTGCTATTAGAGACCATTCTAAGCATTCAGCTAATAGATTTGGGGACAGACCTTTTTCCCTAGTGCCTGTGCTATTCTCTTAACTTCATCACCTGCATAAAGAGAGAAGGAAATAATAATTCATCCACTTCTATTTCCAGACCAATATGTAGGAACATCTAGTTCATGCCTTCTAGCTCTTAAAGGTGGCTGGAGCCAGGTGAGCCCTGAACATTATATGGCAAAGGCTCACACCTGCATGTGGCGCCGCCCCCGCGCCTTCCCCCCACCCCCGTGGCCATAATGAAGCTTGTGTCAGTCCAGATCTTTGCTTTCATGCTGTCTTTGAATGAACAGAATCTGGTGTCTGTATCCATTTTTGTCATTGACCTTGCCATTTTTCTGTGAAGTCACTATTCCTGGTTAAGTGTCCTGAGTATGTGTATGTATGTGTGGTCAACAAGTTTACTTAAATCTATCTAAATGAGCTCAGATTTTGTTGTCAAACGGATTCCAGGATGCTGATAAGATGGTAAGCTCATTGAAGATCAAAGGCTGTAAAAATGGGCCTGGGGTCCAATCATGGGTCAATTTCTGTGGCAAAGCAAATCTTCCCCCCTAGCTACTAAATACTATTGGAGGCAAACTGTCAATTCTAAAATCATTGACAGTTACTAATAACTCCCCGAAGCCAACTTTTTTTGAAGCTAAGCAAAGCGACAGTTCTCATAACCACACAAAGTCAAGTTGGATTTTCTACTCCTATGAAGGTCCCTCATTTATGAGTACAGATGCCATATGAAAGAAATGCAGTTTTGTGGCAGTAGTGGTATATGTACATCTTTGCCCAGGCATTCTCGTTTAGAAAAAGAGACCCCCCACTTTCATACCTGTACTAAAGCTGAAGTAAATGAATCTTGAAAATATCTGCCATTGCCAGTGACAGAAATCAATCCAAGAGTTCCCTCTCCTGAGGAATAAAAAGAGAAGAAAACAAGCAATTCATTTTAGGGAGGCGGTAGCAGTGGGAACAAAGTTGAATCTTATTAGAGTTCTTAACAATAATAATAAAAATAATAGCTAACACTTATATAGCTCTTACTATGTGCCAGGCACTGTACTAAGCATTTTATAATTATTATCTTATTTAATCCTCACAATAACCCTAGGAGGTAGGTGCTGTTATTATCCCCATTACACAGATGAGGAAACTGAAGTAGATAGCAGTTAAGTAATTTGCCCAGGGTCACAATAGCTATTAAGTACCTAAGGCCAGATTTGAACTCTGGTCTGCCTGATTCCAGGCCAGCAGTCAACATTAATAATAATAACTCAGGTTTTTTAGCATACTTTAAGGTTCCCAAGTCAGTCAGTCCTTTTTCAGTCATGTCCAACTCTATGTGACACCACTTGGGGTTTTCTTGTCAAAGATGCTGGAGTGGTTTGCCATGTCCTTCTCCAGCTCATTTTACAGATGAGGAAACGGAGGCAGACAAGGTTAAGTGATTTGCCCAGGGTTACACAGCTAATGTGCATTTGAGGTCTGATTTGAACTCAGGTCTTCCTGACTCCAGGCCCAGTACTCTATCCACTGCACCATCTAGCTGAGCTAAGGTTCACAAAACATTCTACAAATGTTATTTTATTTGATCTTCATATCAGTCCATTTTACAAATGAAAAACTGAGGTGCAGAAAGGTTCATTATTTGCTAATGTCACATTTCAACATAGGTCTCCCTGAGTCTAAGTGTAGTGTTCTGTAAATTTATATGATCATAGAGTAGAAGATTTGCTTATCTTTTTGGCAGCCAACTAATAATCCTCTTAGCCTTGGTAATTAGGGCATCTATTATTTTATGGCCTTGAATGGTTTTCCCTGAAAATGGTAGATGCAGATAATATATAAAACATTTGCAAAAACAGCTGTGATATTATGTGATATGATCCAACTGTTCTCTTTGTCTCCTGATAAGCCTGTATAAAATCATGTGTTTGATCATTGGCTAATGTTTCCCCTATCTTAACTGAAATATTTTGGCTTGATGATTCTCTGGTGAGGTGAGTGCCAGGGTATGGCAATTTTATCTGAATAGAAATTTCTATGTAAATAGAAGAATAGGATTTATCATTAAAGAATGCTACATGTTACTTTAAAAATAAATAATTAAAACCCTGGAAATTAACTTGACTTTACTTCTTTAAGAGAATTCCTTTTGTTTAAGGTCTTTTGCTTTCCTATATTATGCAAATATATGGTAAATACTCCATGGGGAAAAAAATCTTAAATGAAGTTTGGGATGAGAGGTTTTAGTCAATGTATAAAAACCCTCATGTTTAAAATGAAAGATAAAAGAAATATGTTATTGATTTGTCCATATTTCTCACATCCATTCTTGCTTGAAATGATAAGTTCTTATAGGGACACGGATCAAAGGATCATAGATTTAAAGCTGGTAGGAACCTTAGAGGTCATCTAATCTAGCTCTCACAGGTTTGATCTTTTTTATTCCTTTCCTCCTATTTGTAGCATCCTTTGAGCCCCTAGAAAATGTTTTCTTCTCTGCCTCTGCAGCTGTGATAGGAGTGACTGACTCCCCATATGTCACTTAGGGTAGTACATAATTAGATTGAAGTAATTTAAGAGACGCCCAGTATCCACCCCCACACTTCATCCCAAATATCATGTGTATTTTAAGCTGACATAGCTGTTGGCTTTGGGAAGTTCTTTATTTATCTGGTGTTTCCCATTATCAACCAATTACAGATAGTCTAGACTTCTTATCTAGACATTCCCCATTAAGCCTCCTACTCTCCATGGGTTCCTTCCTACTCATTTACACCTACTATCTCACCCATGCTTTGTGGCTCTAATTAGGTGATGAAGATGAGGCTGTAAGGTTAAGAACAAAAGTCTGCTGAACTTAAAATGCAAATGAAACTTAAGATTCAAAGAGTATCATAGAAGCACTTTCAGTTCTGAAATTTGTTGCCAAATAACATTTGTTTAAAACCTACTTTAAAAAACACTTTACAGCAACATGAGGAATTAAGGAAAAAAGCTATTTAGATTTCACTGTCACCTTCATATTGGTGTTTCCAAAAAATATTGCTTTGAAAGCCAAAAAAAGAAAAAAATCTATGACTAGCCATAGATTGGTTGTTTTAGGGTAAAATGTGTGCTTCCATAATGTTTTTAAAATTAATTTTTATTCATATTATTTGTTTTTACATTGCCTATGTTTCCTAAAACACCCCTACTCTTACTCCTCCCAGAGAGCAAACCCTTATAATAAAGAATTAAAAAGATGAAAAAAAATAGTTTAGGAAAACTAATTTGTATATTGAGGAAGTCTGTCATATACAATATTCCACACCCATAGTTTTCTATCTCTGCAAAGAAGAAAGACTGGGGGAAGGGAGATAGCTTCCCATCTCTTTTCTTTGGAGCCAAACTTGATCCTTAATAATTTCTCAGCATTAAATTTTAATTATGTTTATATTGTTATAGTATTATATAGTAGTGTTTTCCTGGTTCTGTTTATTTCATATTGTATCAGTTCATAGAAATCTTCTCATTTTTCTCTACATTCATTTTTCATCGTATTTTATAGCACAGTAATATTCTATTAAATTCACATATCACAACTTGTTTATCTATTTTTCCAGTCAGTTGGACAGGCATCTACTTTATTTCTCGTTCTTTGCTACTACAGAAAATGCTGCTATAAAAATTTTGGTGACTGTGGGGCCTTTTTTGTCATTTATCTCCTTGGGGTATGTATGCCTGCCAGCAGAATCTGTGTGTCAGAGGAAATTAACATTTAAGTCACTTTCTTCAAGTAACTGGAGTCAGGTACAGTGGTAAGATTGCTGTCCTTGGGTCATGAACACCTGAGTTTAAATATAGCCCTGGACAATTATTATTTGTGTTACATTGAACAAGTCATTTAACCTCTGCCTCAGTTTCCTCAACTGTAAAATGAGGATAATAATAGCACCTACCTCCTAGGGTTATTGTAAGGACAAAATTAGATAACTATGTACAATGCTTTGCAAACCTTAAAGCAGTATATAAATGTTAACAATGATGATGATAATAATAATGATATAATTCTGAATTATCTTTCCAGAATTATTAACCCAGTTCACAGTTCCACCATCAATGAGTTAAGGTGTCTGTCTTTACCAACCCTTTCAATAAAGACCATTCTCTCTTGTCATCTTTGCCAGTTTACAAAGAGGTGAAACATCAGAGTTGTTTTGATATATATCTTATTAGTGACTTGAGATATTATTTTGTATAATGATTATTATTAATAAAAATAGCTCATTTTTGTATAGTACATTTAAGTTTATTCTTCACCCATGTCCCTTAACAGAATGAATGAAACAGACTTCTATGGCAATTTGCTCTTAGCCAGATGTGATACCATTTCTAAAACAAAAGTCTTTTGTTTCCTTATCCACTGGGCAACAAAAAAACAAAACAAAACACAATTCTCACTGCTATTTAGTTATTAAACAAAATTCAAATAAGTAAATTGAACATAGACTTTTCTCTTCCCCAAATCTTTCTGTCTATTTATATGCTTATTATAGAGTTAGTTTCCTGTCAATATCAAGAAAAAACTCTCAAGAACATCTATTCTTTAAACAAATCTTCCCCAAAAAAATATTTTTTAAAAAATGTTATGGAAAAGGCTATGACATTGCCACTA